TTTATAATTACGTTAAATAAATATGAACGTTTTTAATTAGTTATTTAATGTTGCATCAATATCATAAATAAATAATTGGTACCTACTTGTTAAATAAATTAAAGATAACACAATACAGAAAAAACATTACAATTCTTTTTTATCATTTCACTGATTTTCTTGGAAATAAATAATAGGAAAGTTATTGAAAGCTAAAATTAACACCTTTAATAAATTGATTGTATTTTATTATACACTCAAGTTATCATATTAAAAGATTTACAAACACCACTGATTACGTAATCATTATTATTGACCTACATATTTCCATAATTCTTTACAAATTTCAATTTTCTCTTTTTGTCCACTTTATTTAAATAATATTTTTTACGTGGTACTGTACCATGGTGTTTTTGATTTTGTAAACAATTATACGATATATAATACCTGCTGATTGATGTATGGATATCACTATTATTTTTAAACTCTTTTTCATGAATTATTATTTTCGCAGATTTCATGTGGAACTTGTTTTTTAGAAACTGCAGTTCTTTCACTGCTCTACCATTTATTAACAGTCACTGCGAAAGCGAAACGAAATGATGGAAGTGACTAGAGTGTTCTATTCAAACGGAGAAAACTGATTGCTTTCTTTTCTTATGACAATTAACTCGTCATTATTATTCGTGTAACTTTGACATTGATGAATTATTCATTGCAAGTGTGTATACAGTAATTTATCTGATTTGAGAAATTGTAAAAATTGTATTCAATTAGTTACTTATCAAATCATTAACGTGCTATATATTAACAACACTAATTTCATTTTGCATAACTAAAACTCTTTATGATTTGTTAATTTATTGACAGTATTTCAATTATTAAGTATCAAGTGTTAAATCAATTATTAATTATCAGAGTAATTAATAAACTACTGAGGGCAGCTATAGCCATCTATTACAAAATATATTTTTAAGACTACAAATATTTGAGCAATAAACTAATTGCAAATTCAGAGATACAAATATATCGCCACTTCGAAGGAATAATAGTATATTTAACTGCAAAATTGCAAATTTTAAGACCTAGGAGCGCCCCCTTCGGGCGGCAGACCATAAAGAGAGCCCCAATTTTAAATTAATTTTGTATTTCATATTATTTTTATTTTAAAAATTTTACATTATTTCTTTAAAAATTATTTTTCTAATCAGTGGCGGCTCGTAGCTAAAATTAGTGGGAGTGCTGCTTTAGAAAATTTCTAGCCTTTGTTTCAAAAAATCGGCACTGCGGGAACGACAGCGCTTTCTCTCCCGCGCAGCCTCGTGCGCAGCTTCCTATGTGCGCATGCGTACATGGTCAAACACTACACCGCTGGAACTGTGAAGCACAGAGTTCCATATAAAGATTTTTGTATCTTTTTCATAAACTGGGGGATGGCTACTGATATTAAGCTTAAGGATTATATATTGTACAAGTATAAATAAAGAATTAAAGTAAATAGGACTCATTATATTAAATGTTAGCGATAATATCAGGTGGAAACAGGAGATGCTGCAGTTCCACAGTGCTATACACAAACCGCCCTGTTTCTAATATATGAAACTCTTTCATTAAAAAATTATATATTTATTTTTAGGTTAATATTCTTGTATACTTATGGTAAGTTTCAGCCACGATTGACCCAGACTCCGCTGTTCATGGGTTAATCCCACTACTGCCACCCTAAAAGGATTTGTCGTAAAGGACAGCTGACGCCCTATTAGGAAGTAAGAAACTTGTTTTTAAGAAATATTAGAATATTTTCGAAAATTTGATAGCATGAAAAAAGGAAAATTAGATTTAATATTATCATGATGCTAATAAGGTATGAAAACAAATTTGACCCCTCTATTAGATAATTCTGAGTAAGTAACTGTTTAGTTCATCAAATATAACAATTCTATAATTGTAATAATATACTTAGAATATAAATTTCCAATTTTAGGAGAAAAATAACATAATTATAAACAGGGGAAACATTAAAGGGTAAGGAATAAAAGTATTGTAATTAAAATAGGCTATTCATTGCTTTGTTTCCAACACTATCAAATATTTTTTTCATTATTTAATTACAAATGTAATCATAAATGAAGCATTCAGAACCAAAAGGATGCAAGCAACATTTTTTAACACATTTTAATTATGAACGGGAATAATTAGTTAAATCTAATTCTAAGTGTCTCAAGCGAAATTGATTTTTTTCAGTTCCGTAAAAATGAGTTTTTTGCAGATGTGTCATTATTTATCCGGACCAATAATACATCAGAACTAATTAAATTACATTTGTAACACCTTTCAATCAAAATCTGCTATAACGAAAAAATCAATATTCTGTTTTCAAGTAATACCAAGTGTAGCAAATAAAAGAATTGAAGAAGAATTTATATGCTGAATAATCACTTTCACATCCGGAATCGCGGACAAAATTTTTCACACAATTTTCATCTGGTCGTATCGAGAAAGTGCGATCGTTGAACCAATAAAAGAGACATAGTGATTCTGTAGAATGCAGTGCTATAGAATGTACATATCTGCATAAAACTGTGCAACACATTTCAACATTTTTTCGTATTTTGATGTTCCTTGTGTGTTTCGCACAGAACTTTGTACGTTGATTACGATTCTGTAAACATTTTTTCATTAGTTTCAATTATGGAACAATTCGGATTTGAAAAAATTTCGTATTTTCTGTATGTTGTGACGTAAATATAAAAAAATACTCAATTTTTATTTACACAAAAAAATTGTATAAATTTTTCTGAATATTTAAACAATTAATAAATGTGGGATAACACTGATCTTGTATAAATTTTGTTGGTATTACTGTAGGTATTTCACATTGCTGTGATTAAATAATATTTAATCACTTAAATAATATTTTATATTAATAATAATTTTTTTAGTAGTGTATTAATATTTTTTAATATTTTTGCATAGAAAATTTATCATACCTTATAATTGTATGTTTCTATATTTCTATCTATGTGTTTTCTAATTGGTCTTTGTTCATTATAACTGGAAATTAGTCATTTTATCTTCACCCTTGAACAGCAGAGACTGGGTCAATCGAGAAACTTATCAAACATATCAAAAGTTGAATGTATAATTTTTAAGGGAAAGAGTTACATATGTTGGAAAGATAATTTTTAAAGAAATAGTGTAAAATTTAGAAAATGAAAATTATATGAAATACAAAATTACATTAAAATGGTGGCTCTCTCCATGGTCCGCCATTCGAGGGTTAAAAATTTCGGTAATTATAGAAAAAAATTTTATCTTTCATAAGGTATATTACACAGCATTGTTTGTTTAAATAATTTACTTTTAAAACTAATTATTATTAACAGACGAAATGATTGTTTATTGCGCTTTAATGAATATCCTGATGCATAATTCCTTTGATACCATATGTAAACTGAACCAGGATCATTTATTATTTCCGGTCAAATCACCGAGGGACTTAATAGAAGATCAATACAGACATATTCTCAATACTGTGTTGCTAATCCTGCCCATATTTAAGAACAAATTGTATTTGCATGATACCGGTTCAATATTTATTAACAATACATTCAGTTTAATGTTGATGTCTAACGATATTAAATTAATAGAAACTTTTATTAATATTTTAATTTTCATAAAAATATCTTTTTAAAATGAGTATGCAATGCAATGTGAAAATGTAGTCCATTTTGAACCATTTATTTTTTTCTAACGTCAATCAAAGAAAAGATATGGTTTATACCTTTTCAATTAGTTAGTTATTAAAAAAAAACTACATACACAGCAATAAAATAGGATAATATACTGTATATTGCTCCAGAGACTATTACTTTTTACTTGGACTTTTATGTGATTGGAGTTCGTAAATACTATTTCCGCAGTAATATTCATATTTTCGCCTCTGCATATCAAATTAATTATCACGGAAACACTGATGAGATGTTTATGCAATTTTTCTGTTATCGTTCATGTGTATTTTCTAATGTAATTTAAAAAAAATATGTATAAGAAAAATTTAATCTATTAAATGAAATCTTCAGTGAAATTCGAGGAAACTAGATATTAAATTTAAAATAAGTCATAAAATGAGTGAAAGTATGTTCTTAAGCCTTAATGAGACGGAGAAGTTTTCATCGAGCATGTGTATGTACAGACTGATAGGAGATATTTCAGTGAAATTTGTATCATGTTTTTATTTAATAGTTAATTTTGTTCAATTTGCATAAAACATGACATGATTAACTTTTGAACAGCAGAGTCTGGGTCAATCGAGATCCAAACTTACAAAGATATTAACATAAAGTTAAATGTATAATTTTTAAATGGAAGAATTTCATATGTTTAAAGAATAATTTTTAATGGAACAGTATAAAATTAATAAAATGAAAATAATGTAAAGTACAAAATTAAATTAAAATTGGAGCTCTCTTTATGGTCCGTCGTCTGATGGTTAACAAAATCAATAAGTTTATTATTTTTATTTCTACATTTAAATATGTAAAAATGTATCAAATGTTATAAAAAAAAATTGTTCTCGTTAAATATATTTACACTCGGCACGTTTTTCTTTTAAGCCTCATCCTTTACGCTTCGCTGCTTCAAATCGTTTCGATTACGGTCTGTTTCGCTACAACCGCGATTTTCCAGGTTTCTTTGCAGGTAGTCATTTCAATTTCCGCATAAACGTTTTAATCATTTGGACGAGCAAACAAAGCATTCTTTTTGAAACCGTGTAATACGGTCTGAAATACTTCTACACCGTCACTATTTAATTGTTACATTTATAATAATTGTTATTTTATTTATTCAAATTTTAAATATATTCTGCAATTTTTCAGAATGTTTTACACAGAAACGGACGTTATTGAAATAAATTTTTATGAAAGAAAAAAAAAAGAAATTAAATTCGTAATATTCATTTTACAGAAAAGAATCCATTTATATACTTTTTTATTTGTATTCCTTTAAAGTACTGCTTCGTTCATTAATGTATATAGGTCGAATAAAAAATTAATTAAAACCCAACGTTTTACATACTCTGTTATACCGTTTGAATCTGTCCGCTCCAGAAACGCTTCTTCAGAACATTAATTTTTCATTAAAGAGTCTTAGAAGTGATTAGAAATCAAAGTAATTGTATAAGCGTTTACAGTTATATTACAGTTCTTTTTTATTTTTTGAAAGAAGCGAATCAAATGCTTTTAGCACACTGATTGCAACCATTGGCGTAACTAGGACGTTTGTCTGGGGTGGATCGGGTCTTTTAACAATTTCAAGCATTCAACATTTTGCAATTCTAGAATTTTAGACTTTCAGAATTTTAGAATTTTAGAATTTTAGAAAGGGCTAATCAACTTTTTGGATGGGTCAGTGTTCTCCTTGGTTCCTATTTAGTTGCGCCACAGATTGCAACGCGAAATTTGTTGAAAGTACCTAATATGAATATTTTTAATTAATTAGTAAATAAAAACAGCTATTAAATTAATTTAAAAAATTTTTTCTTAGTAAAGAATTTCTAAGTACGTAAAATGAACCATTCACAGACCAAACTGATGAACTCCATTTTTTTAATTTTTTAACATTTAAATACAAATTAAGTTAAAATTTTAAATCCGCTACCCTACTTTTTATTGGCAAATGAGCGGATCATACGGGTGACGGATTCCTATGGAAATTCAAGCGTCACCCAGATATGAATGACATGGCAGTTAACATTTTTCTCGAACATTTTATATTCGTCATCGTCTATAATTTGAAAATTACTTGGAAAGTGCTTATTCGAGATATCGATGTACTTTTACAAGTATTTAAGAAATAATTAGAAATTTTCTTATAATATTAAAATATAATCCAAATTCATGAAAAATATGGTTAAATATTCTCAACATTTCACACTTTATTTGCAATCGTTTTTATTTCTATAATAAAAATTTTATCCACCGAAAGAATATTCAAGAAGGAATTGAAAATGTATTTTAATATATTAATTTTAAAGTGGATATTACAGTAAAAAAATTATCGTTTTGTCTTCGATATTTTATATTTTGTCCACCAGTATGCTTTTACAACCATTGTTCTGACAGTTCGAAGAATTGAACTTTTCTTACAACTGTCTAGGAAGATATTGGAAAACGATAGGATCCCAGTTTTACACACATTGGGCAGAACTCCAACTTTGAAGGAACGATTGAATGCCTTTAATATCTTATAGTTAACCTACATTTCTTGTTATCTACAGTACTGTTGCAGTACTGTTACCTCAAAGTACTTATATTGACAGCTTCGATTGTCCCAGGAGATATTAAAAATGTATCTGTGTGCTTGTTATTTAATATATTACAAATTCAAGTAGTTGTTAATATAGGTGTGATAATGTTAATTCAGAAGAGGTTAGGGTTTGCTTGTTGCAGTGAAAACAATAGTGTAATACATAATAATAAAATTACTCAACATGTATTATTTCATATTATAGTACAATATGAATAATATTTAAAAATTCCTTTCCTACTCTTTCCCATGCTTTTAATTATTCGCCTAAATTAAGTTTCCTACGTCAGTCACCAGAGGTAACTGTTAGGTTAGGTCGCTAGAATAACCATAGCTGGATAAAGTTATTACACCCTGAAAATTACCGAGACTGGTGCTTAATATTGTATTTATATTAAACATCTTCATAAATTGAATGAATAATGGAAGAAATTCTCAATTTAATAAAGAATAGCACCATATAATGTACTTGAACAAAATTATAAAATATTTTTTAACATTACTGATGAATGGACACTTCTTTATTTTGTTTTTATTTAATTTTTCAGTTCCTTCTCTTATGCGCACGTAAAAACTTTTAAATAACACACCAATTTTTTGTCATTTTGATTGCAATCTTTTAAAATATGTTCCTTCGCACCTTTCAATTGTTTAAATTATTTACTATAGCAAAATTGGGTACTTTATGGTATAGAATACAACCAGATGGTTAAAATTTGGCTCGTAATAAATAAATGCTCATCTATTTAGTTTGTTTTATTCTCATTATTAGATTTCCAATGTTGCAAACACAGTAGGTATGAATAAAGACAAAGCTAGAGCGAGCATTGGTTGGTGCGATTACAGACATATTTTAGAAGAAAATATGAGAACATCCCTATCATGCAATGTTTCACAATCTACTTTGGAAGATAGCGTAAAAATGGATGAATCGTGTATAACATTCATTCTCAGTCTTTTTATACTAAAAAAAGAATTTAAGAAAAGAAAACCATAAAATTAAGAAAGAATAAAAAACTTTGCATCCTAAAGAAAATTGATAAACATCTACACCCTTTTTCATTAAAATGATATTAGATCAAAGTCTGGCCTATTAAAAACAAATGTTATTTTTTTTTAAATTTACAAATGCATACCAGAACCCTATTGTAAAAAACAAGAATATTTTAAATTTTAAATTGCATATAGTTGAAGGAAGGTCACAAAGTTTGTTTTTCAAATATTGCAAATTTGCCTTTTTGTGACTATGATCATTTTTCCTTTGTACACTCGCGATTAAATCAGGTTTCTCCAGAAGAAATGGTCTTGTGTTCCCATCCTTCACTGTCAACTTCCTCAGGTTCCCGAATTGGAGTTCTTCCTGTAGGCGTTGCTTTCCGCGGGATACAGGCCTTCCCCTAATGCGTTTCCGAGGAGAATGACCAAGAATGACGTTGGAACGCAGGAGGACCCATGGCGGCTCCACAGCCTACGTATATCTTTTGCGCGGGAAAATTTGAATTGAGATTTATTTATTATTCATATTTCTCAGTTATACATAAACTTATAATATATTTAATAATTAAAAATTATGTTATTTTGTTTCTAAATCATTTTCAACATCAATATCGTCAAAATTAAGATTTTGAAAATTCTTGCTTCCTCTATACCTACCGTCATTTTCTTTAGGGAAACCTGATTTGATCGCGAGTTCAATTATTATTATATTCTATAATTTATCCACATACCAGCTAACTGTCTGTTGCGACGACCAGCCTCCCAATCATTTTGGCTATACCAGTTTTGCTACATTTTCAACTCCAGGCTCGGACACTTGAACAGTTCAGGAAGTTGAAGACGCGTGTCAAAGTGATTTCACTGAAAGCCAAGCAGCAGGCGTGTTTTACCGTATAATCGAGGCGAGTCGTGCCGGGAATACGGGCGAATGCCTCGTTCTAATGACCTACTCCCACGACGAGTGGAGGGTCCGTGGTCGGCTTCGAGCGGAGCCGAGTTCAGTCGGTGCCTGACCGGGGTCTGGGCCTTTTCCGTGGGTCTGATACGTTCACGTCCGATGCCAGAGACTTGCACAGTCCTGTGAAAGCTGGGCCTTCGTTCCTTTCGCGCACACGGTACGTGTTCCTTTCATGCACACCTTTCGACCCTGAATACTGGTTCAGTGCCGGCTTTCCGGACACCTTAAGGTCTTCGCACAACTGTTCCTCTTCGTTACTTTCAATGTGATAGCGAACGCGGATGTTTCGATGGAAAGTGCGTCCTGGATTGAATCAGTGTATGGATTATCATCTGTTTCTGTATGTATAATACTTTTTTTTAAATAGAAGGGAAAGAGTGTGAGGAGACCTAAGGATAAAATGTTTAGACCTTGAACAGCGGAGCCTGGGTCAATCGTAAGGTTAAATATATCATTTTTAAGTGAAAAGGTTTCGTATATTAAAAGAATAATTTTTACAACAAATTCAAAAAATTTAAATACAAAATTAAATTCAAATTGGGACTCTCTCCATGGTCCCCTGTCCAAAGATTAATTGTTTGATTCAGGACCAGAAGATGTACAGAGTGTTAAGAAAGTAATGGTTATTGCTCATTTAGATGATTGTCTATATTAATCCTTCCTTGCATCGTGTTACAAATATGTAATTAATGTTACAGAAAATTACCAAAAACACAATAGTGCAAATTTGCGATATTAAAAATTTCACAAAATTATCCGATATCCTTTTATTATTACCGTTCGTAAGAATTAAATAATTATATATTTCTTTAATAAAAATTAAAAAAATTATTTGTAATGAATCATCAGTCTCAGGATTGAAGGAGACATGCTAATTAGCATAAAATAGGGTGAATAGGAACAACAGTGTATATACACAGAAACAAAACTTCATAAATTATCGTTAAATAGATGTCATCTATTTTTATGTTTTTGAAATTGCCTTAACCCTTTCACTTTAACGCGTTTGTAATAAAATACGTCGCTGACGACTCAGCAATAACATATGGAGTGCTGACATACTGTACTTCATGATTGGGTTATTACAATAATTAGAATATTACTATTGTTAGAAATATTATATTTTTTATATATGATGTCCACTCATAGATGACGTATGTCTATAGAGCGAAAGGGTTAAGACTACCTAAAAAAGTACAATTCAATATTTAATTAATAGCTGCTGTTGTTCTTGAATTTTCGGGTATCCGAGGCTCGGGTAATGACCGAGTCAGATCAGGTGGAGTCGGGTAGGGTTGGATACAGTTTCGTTTTCCGAGGTGAAGGCAAATCTCAAGTTGATATTCGGGTCCCAAAACTACGGGTACCCGAACAAAACGTGGTGAACAAACTTTCGAGAACTCAAAAAACTTTTTAACTCGACTCCAACTCGAATTTTCGGATACCCGCACATACCTAGTTGCCATTTATTACTTTCTAAAACTTGATTTCTGTAATTATCTCTAATATAATTGTGGTAAATAGTAATTGTACCAATTTGATAGATATTCTTAGTGAAATAATTAGGTATAAAAATTAATTCGGTGCCTTTAACATCACGTATTCATAATTATTTAGATTCTAATATTTTTCCATCCCTTCTATGAATTTCAATTTATTAAAGTTCATTAATTTAATTTTTTAATTTTAGTAAATTTTAGTTGGAGCTACTAGGATTAAATAATTTCATTTTCTCCACTTTGCAATGTTTATTATTAGTTGCAACTCGCCTGTGGCAGTTGTTTAATAGAATTCTCTTCAATAAATTAAAAAAATTGTTGCCTTTAGCACAGTTCATAAAACTAAAAAATAATCGAACATCAAAATCAGAAATATTAATATCCTTCATTTTTATTATGAGTGATCTTCCATCAGAAAAATTTCCATTGCTGATTAATGTTTCAAAAATGTAAATTATAAAAAGCAGCTACTGATATTATAAGTAATTGAAAGATGTTTTGGGACTAATGAACTGAAAGAAATTTAAATTTCAGGTGAAGCAGCTGTTTTGACAGCATGATTTTTCACAGTTCATTAAGTTCAAATATTTCTTATATATCTACATATGAAATAAAAAATAGATAGAAATATTAGGTTTATTATGCTAGTTGTTATTAATTATATTTTGAGTTACATCAAATGTGCTGTGTTGATTTTTCATGGTCTTCATCCTTAGTCTTTGGACTTAAATCTATTTATGATTATGATATGAATTAAAATTAATAGAAATTGGAACACACACGTGTGCTTTGAAAGATATGAGAACGTGTAGTACTTCATTTTTTAACCCTTTAACGCACGACTTTGTTTTACAACAGATCAAAAATTATTAATTTTTGTAATGTATGGAAATCAGCCCCGGATTAAAGAAAGGAATAAGCTGGGACAGAGAATCTTGATATAAGCCTTCCATTTATTACATTAAAAAACACTGAATGACATTTTTTTTTCAGTGTTTCAATTTTCAATTTTTGAATCAAGTTTATCAATCAAGGGTGCCCTCGTAGGTTTGAAAGCCCTGAACCTAAAAACCTTAAACCGATCCTGACGGATATTAATAATTGAAAATAATACGTATAATGTCAACAAAATATAATAATCTAATTAATTAACTAACTTTCATGCGAGAACATTGTAATAATTTATGTAGAACTTCTTATGTCTTGTATATTAATTACTTGAATTTGCTTTAATTGTTCTAATTATTCTCAATGGCTTATTATATTACAACTGAATATTCTTGACAAAATGTTTATTTAACACTTATGGATATCTGCATATAAATATGTCTAATGTAATTATTTTCTAATATAAAGTTATTACCTCTGACGTTTTGCATTCTTTTTAATATTTAAATTTTTTAACATTTAAACCTTAGGTAGATAAATAGTTTTCGAATTATAAATTTGTAAATAAATTACTACAAAACTTAATCAATTTATCTAAATTAACTACAGCCTGTATAATAAATGTTGTCAATGTAGAATTACCGGCTTGAGGAGTTAATAGGAGGGTCTAAATCAATTTAAGATTGCACATTAAGGGATTACTACAGGGTGCCTCAAAAGATAGATAGGAATCCTCTGATAGAAAGCGTGTATGTTTCAAAATAGCGGAAATACAATACTATAGATATTAAAATAAATAATCTTATTGCAAATAAGATTTGACTAACAAAATTATTTTATTCGTGTTTATGTATTTATATATTATTATTATTTTTATGCTTATATTTAAATTGAGCAATTTAACATATGAACGTATGGAAGCGTACAGAGGGGTTAAGCAACTGTGCAAAGAGCTCATTACAAGGTTGCAGATACCTATATGTACTTACACTTACACAAACGAATATATATGGATACGTATACTTAGCAAACACTATCGAACAGTAAGAGATTATTTACACTAGCCTTTGTTGCGTTACGAAAAAGGCCAAGAGTGAATGACCTCTTATCGTTTGGTAGTATTTGCTGCGTATGTGAAGGCGTATCTGTGTATATGAAATTCTATGTCTCACGTTAGTGTAAATTTCAAAGTTCGGGTGTGAGCTGATTGCTCAGTCGTAAGTACATGGGAGCACTCTGATTATTGGGCTGCAAAAATTAGGCCATATTTAGTGGAGTTAGTTAGGGGCCAGAGTGGGCCTGCCCCCTCCCCCCAAATGTGGACTTAAGAACCTTTACCATTTTAAAGTTAAAAAGTTCTAAGATTCCACAACTCCAATATTCTGTATATACATATAATCTAAAATTATATAGGTATACATTATCGTCTATGTATTTAATAATACAGTAAAAGCTGGATATATGCAACAAACATTGGGACCCAGACGTTGCATATATCTAGCCGAGGTGTCGATTCTGGGCATTTAAACGTTGCATATATCCAGTCGAGGTGTCGATCCTGCGTCCGTACACATCGTTTGTATTCAGCCGCAATACCTATTCTACAGCGGAGTTCACCAGAGTCCATAACTGCGAAAAGACCAGTTTTCGTTCTTCGCGCTTCTCCAGTGCGCATCTTCGCCCTGATTGGCGGTACTCCCAAACGAAGTAGAAAGCGATTAGCGGAGAGCTCGCTGCGTTCCCCCACCATCTTTCAACCAGCGCGTCGCAGTTATGGACTCTGGTGAACTCCGCTATATGTTCGTACACAACATGCGACGTGTTGCATGTTGCATGTTGCGTCTTTGATGCATCTTTGGTGTACGGCCTGCCTTATGTTTGGTATCATTTTAATCAGAAAAATCTCACAAATGCGTTAGTAAAAGTTTCATTAAGAAAAAGTTAAAAATAAAAAAGTTTTATCGTTGAATTAGTATTAGTCACACCGATATAACGGTTCGGATCGTACTACACGGCTTCCTCGTCGAGCGGCTCGGTTCGCTTAGGGCAGGCCTGTCCAAGTAGGGGAAATTACTCCTGGAACACATGTTTTTGGTCCCCTTCCAACGCTGCTCCTTCAAGTAAGGTGGGACGGTTCCGACTACCGTCTCTCCGTCTTTCCTACCGTCTTTGGTAGTCGGAACCGTCCCATCTTACTTGAAGGAGCAGCGTTGGAAGGGGACCCAAAACATGTGTTCCAGGAGTGGATTCTCCTACTTGGACAGGCCTGGCTTAGGGGGATCCCCCCAAGTGGAGGGGATAGCGATGTTGCATATATCCAGCTTTTACTGTAATAATTTGGGCAGTCAAAGACAATGTGCCATTTATGAAACAGTGTTGTACTCAGGAATATAAAATTTTTTTTTATGGACCTAATTCAATTTTGCTTATGTTAAATTAAATTTCATTGCACTTTCGTCTAATTTCTTAAATATGTTATTAATTTTCATGATCAAATTAATTTTAGCCACCTTTTTGTATTATTTAGATGTAGATATACATATACAGCCTATACATCGTGTTTCAGTTTTGTTATAACTTTATAATAAATTATTTATGAACTTTTCGACATTTTAGTCTTATTTTTACTCGCCATACGCAGTGGTAAAGTTTGTACGAAAAAACCTGAGACACCCTATATGGATCAGAATCAAATTAAAAATTTTGTAATTAAAAGTCGCAGATCAAATATCTGAACTGAGTAATTAAAAAAATTAAAACAATTTTGTTATGTATTGTGTACATACGGTGTAAAAGTTGGCTATAAAAATATGATTGCTGCTATAAAAAATTTTTAATCATAGTACTGTTACGTGCGGCCCGCGCGCGCGTGCGATTGTGACGCTACTGTGTGGAAGTGTAAGCTGATGTATGAGTGCGAGAGTATGAAATGTGGTAGTGTGTTAGTCGAGCAATGCAACTATCGATAACGTAACGCGCGTGTGACGCCGTAAAGCCGGAAAATTATACTAAATGTTTGTGAGTTCGGAGATACGCTAGTCCCATACGGGCCCTTTCATCAGATCGCTAATGTAATAGGATTTATGAAGGAGGCTAACAAAAGGTTATGTTAAGAAATATTAGATTTGATTAAAATGAATCAAAAATGGTAACGTCAAAATTGACTACCTGAAATTCCTTGATAAAATATTCATAAAATAGCCGGAAGAGTAATGGAAACGACTCACCGGATTATGTGGGAAAACTGCGTGTATGAGTCCCGATTTCTATTGCTGCTATTTCCTTTGACTGGTTTCTGGAGGAAGGAGAGTAGGACGCACACACCTTGAACTTGTTGCACCGGAAAACGATTTTTGAACACCCGAACTGTTGCGAAGTCTGTTAAACTAACTATCTGATTATATATATTTATTAAGAAATAAAATTAACTGGAAAATTAATAAAATGAGTAAAATAATAATCAAGATAAAATAAAATAAAATGGATACACGAAGATAGAGTCTTTTGCCCTATTTGCTACTTTGAACAACTAAGAACAAAACCCGTCTCTGAACCACTTCGCGGACCCGCCGACACGCTGCTCGCGATTGTACGTCGAAGAGTGTCGCAATCTGTACCTCTCGGAGAAGACCAGAGCGGGCCTCGTCCGAAATTGTTTACATTGCGTTATTGCGCGCCTAACGAATTAGGCGGCGGTGTCGATGCGTAAGGAGGCAGGATTCGCTTATCGGTGGTGTAGCCGGGATATGTGCGCTCCTCTCTCTGTTTTAATCTTTCTCTTTCTAATTCGAGTATATTCCTTCACTCTTCCTGCCATACTAAGGACTTTGATATTCATTAAAATATAATACATTTTACAAAATTGTTTCGATCTTAACGTTATAAGAAGAAAACATGTCTTTCAATATTAATACAGATTACTGAATTTGAACGAATGCTAAATAAAAGTTTGAATTCGCATCTTGGGCTGACCGGTGTGGAGGAAACACAATATTACAGTATTTAATGAGTTAATAGAAAATTCGGTTTATTATAATGTATGTATAAGGAATTTCGATCATCTTTGCGGAGCCGATAAGGAACGTTCTAGAGTGGTCAGGATTATCGGACCACACGAATGATGTTTCGGGTTTACATCCGGCGATACTCAGAACCAAAGACGACACGTGATTTTGAACCGTGGGATCACGCTGATTTCGAGGAAGAAATTTGTTACGCTAACAATCGGAATTATGCCTGGAAAAGATAGACTATCTCGAAATATCAAAGATCATTTCTGCGTTCAATCAGGGGAGGTCCAGAATGTAAAACAATCTATCGATGTTCGTGGTTTCCGTTTATACCTCCAACCAAGGTCAAAGGTACAACGGATCAAGATGACGGGGGTAGACCCATCAAAAAGAGGACAAAAAGAGGGAGGGGGGGAACACAAGGTGAATGTGTAAAAATTCCTGTTCGGAACGTAACAGTACCAAGAGTATAGAGAAGAAGTTAATTAAATCTGTATATTAAGGCCACGTATTGCTAATCTGACGCTCTAGAATTGATCCAGTTTCAACGTCCTTGTTTATGGAAAATAAGTTCTTTCATTCATGTCCATGGAGATATCTCGTTTTATGCAAATGGAGCTTGCTAGTTTCCTAGTTCATTAATTAAAACAGCTACATTTTTATAGATTCGCTAGATATTGCACAGTTAAATACATTTAAACGCCTCTTATAGATTTTTATTCGCTAAATATTAATCCATAACAATTTTTGCTTTATCATTTTCAGTTTTTGAAAAGTTCAATAAAAAAAAAAATGCAATTTTCAATTTGGAAAGTGCTTTGTGCTTTAAAAATAATACAGTGCTCTTTAAAATTATAGGTGCACCCCAAATTTTGAAATTTTAATATGTTTGACTGAATTTAAGGCTTAGCAAGAATTATTTTAGGAAAGGTGAACATTTAAAAGGAAAAAAGTACAATAATCTTTCAATATGTTGTTAAAGTCATCACCTTGAGTAGCGTTATGAAGGTTTCACTTGGTGATCGTTGTTTATTAATGAATTATGAATAAAGAAAATTTAAAAAATAGAATATTAATGATGGTATTGAAAGATGTACAGTACTGAGCATGGTAGTCTTTCCCAGGGAAAATGGCGATGTCCCAGGTTTCCCCCACACGTAAGCATAACCCCCCCCCAAGCACATATTTCCAAGATGAATGACGATGTAGGGTAGGAGGCCTCATATAAATACTGTTCGCCGGTGATAAGAAGTCCCGCGGGACGGCACAGGGGCGAGAGGGGATACTACGCGCACATCGACTGACCCCCTAGTTACACACGAGCCTAATTAGTAGATGTGATTACTTCGACCAATCATGCATCACGACTGAAAGTACGCGTGAACTGACGTGGAGCGCGACCAATCACGTTGCGTTATACTCATGGGATTTCTTGTGATCGGTGGACAGTAGGTACGTAACTTCACACCACTTGCGTCTAAACGTTTACGCGGGAGAATTTGAATTAATATTCATATTATTATTCATATTTCTTGAAGATAACATTATTTTATTTCTAAATCACTTTTAATATTAATATTGTCAAAATTAAAGTTTTGAGAATTTCTACTTACCCTATAACACTATTTTCCCTAGTGAAGCTTACTATGTCCGATATTGTAGTATTTAAGAACAACGCTATATACTTCTTATAAATATTGTGTTTATCTTTACCAACAATTTTGACGGACAAATTGTATTAACCTAACAAGTTGTGAAAATTGTAGAATTCTAAATATTTACCTAAAAAATGTTAACTGAATGTTACAAGCGTTAAAATCTTAGAATTTATTAAACAGTATTATCAACGAATTTATGTTTTTAAACTGAGGTTTAACCTAATTTAACCTAACCTAACAAGTTGTGGAATCTGTGGAAGCTGTGAAATTCTAAATATTTATTTAAAATCGTCAATGAATGTTATTAAACAATATCGCTACAATTTCATCATGTTGTTTCATTGTTCTTCGTTATTTATACTAAAAACATTTACACCACGGAATAAAGTATGTTCTAAACCAGCTTTTGCTCTCGTCTAAATGATATTCAAAGTGTTTTTTTAATTAACTCCAACCTATTCTGAATTTGAGACAGAGTCGGGTTGCTTTACATTATCGATCCTCTCTACTTCTCTCTTTATCTCATTTTCAGCGGGGATGGAAAGTTTGGTTTGCTTGTTTTCACTGGAACCTAGTTCGCTACTAAATTTCCATTTTCCTGGCACGCGCTGAATTTTCCCGCGAATTCAACGCAAACTCCCAGCACGGCTTTGACTCGTTCTCTGTTCGGGTTCGTTTACCTGCCACTGTTTGCAGCCACGATCTACAATTTCTCGTCGAGGAGATATCACGACAGACGTTTCGTTACGTTTAACTTATTGCGAATACTTTTCTTCGCGCAGTGCTTTCCACACTGTTAATTTTGTATTAAGATTGCGAATAGAATTCTTTCGCTGTTTCTCTTGTTCATTTCATTGAATAACATTTTAACTCCGCTGTTCTTTTTACATTCACGCTTTCATTTTATGTTGTTTGAAACATGTTATGATTGTATAATACATTTTTTGGAAATTTTTTAAATGACAAAAATATGTTTTCAATATTTTATAACTGGTGGGCTTGACGAGTCACCTCATTGATCTTTTTAAGGTTAAAAAACACAATTCATATACATATATAGAAATGTAATTTTCATTATGGCCGAAAGAACAGCAAAATTAACTGATCATTATTTATTAATATTAAAATAAACCCCTAGCTAAGTATTAACCTAAATATTAATACATATAACCTAAACATCTATTTTAAAAATATTTACCATCACTTCTAATTTTTTTACTAAAGTGCAACCATTATGGACCATTTAAGCTTCCATTATTTTTCTCTAACTTAAAAAATATCCTTTTAATTATAAAAAGTAACTAAGAGGTTAACACCAGTTAACCCTTGCATGATGAATGCAGGTACATATTGACACAGCTGTAGAAATAAAATATACAAAATATGAAAAATGTATTTATGGAGATGTTGCAAAAAATATAATATTTACGCGTGAAGGTATATTTTAAATTTTCTGCATAATTTATTGTCTTTAAATCTGCATACTGTATATAGGTCTAAAATACCATAACCTAAAAGCTATCTAGTTTTTATTAATATTACTCTTTTTAAATGACTATAACTTTACTTTACTTTTCAATAAACCATTATTATTTTAATATTCCTTTATTATTGTTAGTCGCGATGAATGATCCTATTGTCCTGTTGCATTTGTTTCACGTCAAGGCAATAGATTTTACGAGTGAACTGTATTGTATGTATGTGAATTATGAGTTTTATTACACAGGCATCTGTGCTATTTCGCAATATTAATTTTTGCCATGGTGCAGTCTATACTCACATAGTTTCCCTAGTGGTTCTGATAAGGTGTTTATAGTAGTGGAGAACCTTGTAGCAACCGGTTTGCGAGTTTCTCCTTTGTGGCTGGTACTTTTCGTTGCCGTCTAGACCTGGAATGTCGCCGGGTTCAAGCTCAAACCTTTGTTAAAATTACGTTTTCGAATAATATTGTCTCTTGATGTTTGTCATTGTTCCATTTACATACGTACCCTGTTTTCTTGTGAATCTCTTGACGATATAACAGAAAGTATTTGAAGTGACTTTTATTTAAAGTAACAATACAGGATTTGAACAATGGAATGTAGACACTGAACGGACAATAATAGTATCAATAGTAAATAATAATTGAATCTTCTTGCTATAACCATTTGTACAACATTTAATTGTTAATCGTAAACAAAACTATTTAATTTTCTTTATTAAATTGTACTTGCAATGTAGCATTTTTCAGCATAAATACCTTTATTAATTGTTATTCTAAAATTTCCATATCTCCACGGTTTTGAAACATATACGCTTTGTATTACGTGTACAAATTAATTCGGTGCTTCTAGTATTACGCTTTCCTAATTACAATTTTAGATTTGGATATTTTCCCGCGGTTCCGTATATTTAAAAAGTGGCGCGAAAATATGATAATTAAAATTGCTTGAATAATTGAAGTTACCAAGATTTTTTAAAAATTAATCTGCAATTAATAAAGGAAGCGTGCAGAATTAATTTGTACACTTAATATTTAAAGGGTTAATAAAGATAAAATCTTAAAATTAGTAATAAAAATATTATAATCAATCCTTTTTCAATCGTAAATATTACTTTATCCCAGGCGCTAGATAAGTGTCTTGGAACTATCTGATATATTCGAAAATTTCACTAAAAGAATATTTAAAAAAATTATAGTGTTCTAACCACTTTTACATAAATTTAGTTGAAATATAAATTAAATAAAATTATAAATTCGCTGCTTAGAAAATTAATTACTTTTTATTATATTTTAATATTTTATTACAAGATTAATTATTTACATTTATTTTAATTTTTTTATAGATTCATTATTTTTGTTATTATTAATTATTTTTATGAGATGTTCAATGAATAACATGCAAAATTATTTGAATTAAAAAAATGTTTTTTATGGAATGCTACATTTTAAATTGTCCCATCTCTGTTAATGTTAATTGTAACGGTAATTATTTGTCCTGTTATACCAGCGAGTTTCGAGTTGTGCCACTCTTACGTCATTATACTCAAATGCTTTATCATATTCACCTCACCAGTTCCTAAAAACTTTTTATACGTTCGTAGAAAACATTTAGTCACGTTAAAGGCGTCACTAAGGTGACTAACATTAGCAAAAAATAAAGAAAATGTGAAGGACCTTTGATACGTTCAAGAAAAGTCTATGGATTCGACTTTGCATAGAACTGCTTATAAAATATAACAAAATTTTCAAACAAATTATATGATACATAAAAAATAAAAAGTACTTTCCATTACAATCTGTTTATAACAAAAATCTCGAATTATCATGAAATGAAAATTTGAAGTTATCCTAATTTTTGGCTTTTTGTATACTTAACATTTTTTTGATACAGGGTAATTCTGATTATTCGACCAGGCTACTGTTCTAACTGAAATTGAAAATGAATTTAAAAAATAATTTTGTAATGATAGCTAAACGGTATCTACTAAATTTTCTTCTGTGATTTCTTCTTTTAAGTCATTTGAAATAGAGCTACATATAATTTGGTCGAGTAACTAGAATTATTTTATATAAACAGAAAATAGTTGTATTCACTGTTGTTATTCATACATGCCAATTATAAAAATTTGAAACTATAAGAGGACTTTTTCTTTCTTTTATTGTAGCACTCTTGGAAATGAATGGCCAATTAACTTAAAGGGAGATGGTTGCTTAAATAGCTGGTCGAGTTCTGCAATTTGAGCTATGAATTATTAAAA